AATTTAAAAAACATAATTTCACTATTTTATGTGAATTAATTTAAGAGAAAATTATTAATCGTGTCGAAAAAAATTACCGGTTAATGAAATGCTGCGGAACAAGTACTTTAAGATGGGGAGAGAGAAATATTGACAGAAAATTGAAATGGAAGAATGAAATTAACTATAAATATGTTATATCCATATTGCTCCACACAGACTAAAACTGCAAAACGCAACGTTATATCATTTAGCGTTCAATCAGCTTAAATTTTGTAGTTACATTCTATAGTTGCATTAGCAGCAAACAGTCAGGTTTTCAAATGGAACAGCAAAAGGTAGTGTTTTATAGGCGTGCTCTACTTAGGGATTATGAGAAGTCATTGTTTAATCCGATCGCTATACAAGTACTGTAAACAATGCTCATTTTCTTGGATTCTTTGTCATAATTGGTCATATGTTGCTACAGCTCTCCATCCATACTGACGATTTACATATATATCGATCTTTTAGCAACACGTTTTTTTTGTGCGGTTAGGTATGTGAGACCCATCAGTCATGATGACCGTCAGTACCATCGACATGATGCCGTTGTGCCAGATTCTTCCCGACTAAAATAGCATACCTCTTTATCAGTGAGACCTTATTGGGACCACTTTCGTATTACTTCGCAAAGGTTTCTGTTTCTTCTTAGCTTCTTATTATTTTATTTGTTTGCTAATGGCATGCATCCAAACTTTCGCATCATATCTATATCATAGGTATATATACTTGATGTTATTATACGTCAAGTGATGATATTAGATTATATTTTATATAAAAATATATATATAATATTAATAATATATAACATTATATAGTATGCAACTTTACAATTACTAAACATTATGTTCGCCAACAAATAAGGAAAAAGTAAATAATATCCATTAATAAAAAAGACATAGGAGGTTCTGTTATTGGAGTTAATTTAGTTCCTTTACGGTTCAGTTAAATCAAATTTTTGTTTCTTTTTTAAAAATCTATTTTTTTTAATTTAATTTTTTTTATTGTCTTTTAATAGACTTCTTTCTACTATGTATTTAGTTATAGTAAGAAGTTTCTAAATACTAAGAATACTAAGAAGTTTCTAAAATAACAGCAAGTCTGTCTTACGTTGAATCAAAAATACATGAAATAAAACTTTTTATATGAAATGAAGACATTAAATTTAACCCTTTGACCCAGTCAGAAAACATGCTCAACAACGAAAGGTACATCATCTAATTAACAAGATTTATGACATTATTTCCTTTTGAGAAAACAGACAAAATAAAATAAATAATGAAGACACGGCCAAGAGGCTGCCGCATGCGTAGACACCGGCTGAAGTATCTCAGTCCATTTAATTAACTTGGCAAGATGAAATCAGCTTTCAACTCGCCTGTGTTCTACGTGCGTATTTTCGGTAACATATGTTGGCCACATTCGTCTTCCAAGGCAGTACTTCCAATAGCCATGTCGAGAGGAAAAAACAACAGCAAATGAATATTACTTTGAATTCATATGAAGAAGATAAAATATATTTCAAGTACTGACTCAGTGTGCAGAACTTGCAAAAAACTAACTTCAAGATGAAATTGATAGAATGTGTGTCTGTCGTATGCGTACTTTTGTCGTTTTCGAACGCTTTCTGTACTTTTTGTGCTTTTTGTGTGGCACGGAAAGCCTCAACATGAAACATAAAAGTACAATTTTATGACCAAACGAAACCCAAAAAACAAAAAAAATAAAAAAATATAACAAAATTTGCTGTGGTGGCGTTTGAGTCAAGAGGCAAGAATTGAAGCGATAATTTGCTGACAGAATCGAGAAAATTTAGATAAATTCGAAAAACGTTGTTTAGTTATAACATAATTAATTGTTTCTTTGAATTCTATTTGCATGTGGGCCATGTCAATGTCGTCATTGGTTACGTTGCTGTCAATGAGCAAACTTTGAACTCTTGAAGCTGCCACGGTGTGACGTAGCCGGCCTCAAACGCACAGGTAAAAAAAAATTCTGAAATACTGATTCTATAGGCGCGGGAATTTGTTTGCCATTTCAAATTTTGCACGTTTCCATTCTGGCACGCACAGACGCATAAACGCACAGACGTATAAACGCACAGACGCATAAACGCATCTACTGACTCAATTCACTTAGTCAAGTGGCTGTGGAATTAAGTGTTTCATCCAAGTGCGAAAGCAACTGTGCATTCCCATGTTGGTTGGTTGGTATGTGAAGCTCATTGAACATTGAGTGTGTACTGTGGTTTAATTTTGGCTAAAATAAATATTTATAATTCAACCGAACTAGCAAACAGTTTGATTGCTTTGATTTTTGGGTTGAGGTAAATAATGTGAAGGCAAAATCAATTTCATTTTGATCAGAATATATGAGTACATAGTGCGAACTAACAAATATGCAATACATTTGTATAAACAGAGAGCAATAGTAATGCGCGACTTCTATGTATGTGAAACGCGTGTTAATTTTAATGATCTCCAGCATTTTATTGTATTGATCCTCAGCATGAGGTGTGCGTGCGGGCGGATATTGCCTTGATTTAAATACCCGAACACTCGTACATATCTCCAAAAAGCTCTTGAGGATTTTACACAAGTACAAGCAATTTTTAAACATTATTGCAAGTGATTCAATATTTATTTCAGTACGTTTATGACCGTTATTGGATGACCACACCCTAAACAATCGAGAATCACTAATCGAGAGCTTTGCAAATATTACACTACACGAGTATCATAATTACTGGCAATGATTTCATATAGAGTGCAAATGTCAATTTTTGTTGGCACAACTCGCATATGGAAGTAGCAAATTATAATTTAATGATTCTATCATATTCTATATTCATTTTTATTCATGTAATTATTTTAATTAATATACTATTTTTAATAAACTACATATATACGTTAAGTGACTATCAGTTACTTACTTACTTAGTTGGCCATTACAGACGTGTGTCGTCCTTGACCGCGTCGAGTAGCCTCCGCCAGTCAGCCCGATTAGTTGCTTTCTGACGCCAGTTGGTAGTACCGAGCGCCCCCAAATCGTTGGTCACCTGGTCCTTCCACCCAAGATACGGACGTCCTCTACCGCGTTTTCCACCTGCGGGTACCGAATCAAATACCTTTCTAGCCGGAGCACTTTCTTCCATTCGCATGACATGACCTAGCCAGCGTAGCCGCTGAATTTTTATGCGCTTAACTATGTCAATGTCGCGGTATAGCTCATATAGCTCTTCGTTCCATTTAATTCGATACTCGTCGCCAACGCGTAAGGAACCATAGATCTTCCGAAGAATTTCCGAAGAATCTCTCGAATGCTCCTAACGCCTTCTCATCACTGTTGGTAATTGTCCAAGCTTCTGCACCACACAGCAGGACAGGTATGATAAGGGATTTGTAGAGCGTGATTTTTATTTGTCGAGAGCGGGCTTTATTTCTCAATTGCTTACTTAGCCCAAAGTAACATTTGTTGGCAAGAGTAATTCTTCGTTGAATCTCTAGGCTGACGTCATTTTTGGTGTTTAAGTTGGTTCCTAAATAAACAAAGTCTTTCACAACTTCGAACTTATAATTGTCAATAGTGACGTAGGTCCTAAGACGCTCAGGAGATTTGTTTGTTGACAGAAAGTACTTTGTTTTGTCCTCATTTACCACAAGACCCATTTGCTTTGCTTGTTTTTCTAAGTTGGAAAATGCCGCACTGACGACGCGGGTGTTCAGACCAATGATTATCAATGACTATCAGTTCTATTAATCTTATAATTACTGAACTTCTCAAAATTAGAGCAATCATTTCAAACAACTTGACTTGCTATTAAAAATGCAATATTTTTCCTTCTAATGTTTGAAAATAGCATTTTATGTTAGCTTGAATTAGTAACAATAAAATTAAATACTCGCAGATTTAAGTGGAGTTAGCAATTTTAATTACATTCACTATATTGAAATTTTTTTAGAAACTTATATTATATATAACATATACTTATTAAATAAGCCATGAATGAAAGCAATTTCAAAGTAAACATTTGAGAGTCATTAACAATAAAATAATATTTATGGTCTAGACCAGCTCAATGTCAAGCAAAATATTGGCATACCATATATAGGATAGCATTCAAAATAAAAAAAGACCCACTACACAAAAAAATCCTGTGAAGTATAATCTACTTCTACTTCTATTAGGACAGCAACCAGAGAAGTTTATTGGGATTAATGCTTTACGGATAAAGATAAATTACTGGGGTTATTAAATTACTGAAAGTGATGATTTGGCTAATGCCCAAATAATAGCCATTGGATGTGGAATAATAGGAATTAAAGCCAGAAGAAGTATTGACTAAGATTTTAGTATATTAGCTAAAAGTGCTGAATTAACACATATAATAATACCTAGAAGACTCTACTAAGGGAAAATCTTGTTAATAGTAAATCCTTAGAGGTTTGCGGATAGTGATAAATAAGCGCATAAAGGATAATATTCAGAAGAGTTTACTAGCGTTAGTGGTTTGCTGAAGAATTGACATATA